CGAGCGCTGGCTGCCTGTGCTGCCGTTGCTGTGGAACCTCATGCGCCAGCTACTTCAGCGGCAGCAGCAGCAGCAGCAGTAGCAGCAGCAGCAGCAGCAGGCCTGAGTTTTTGCTGGAGATAATGGAGGTGATTTGCTGCGGCAGCTACAGAAGAGGCCGCAGCGAATGCGGAGATATAGATATGCTGCTGATTAAAGAAGACAGCTGCAAAGACCCTAAGATCATATTCAAGTGAGCTGTAGGGTTTAGGGATTAGGGTTTAGGGTTTAGGGTTTACGGTTTAGGATCTAGGTCTTTTAGCTGGGGGTTTAGGGCTTTAGGCATGGCAGCTGAGGCCTGCAGGCAGCAGTGAGGGAATTGCTGCTGCTACCTCCGCCTTTGCTGCTCCTGATTAGGCTTGCTGCTGCTGCAGTGCTGCTAATGGCCTTTGCCGCCGCTGCTGCTGCTGCTGCTGCTGCTGTTTCTGCTGTCGGGCGGGTAGTGGCACGCTGCTGCTTGCTGCCGTAGTATCAGTGCGTTCATTATCTGGCTGCATCATCGTGTTAAGTCGCTGCTGCTGCCGCTGCTGCTGCTTATTTTGGTGTTGCTGCTGCTGCTGCTGCTGCTGCGCAGAGTGGTTGAACTGCTGCGACGGCATGGCCTCATAGTGCAAGACCTGCAGTACAAGAAGATGCACAAGGAGGGCTCAGCGAGCGACGCAGCAGCAGCAGCTGCAGCAGCAGACACAGCAGCAGCCGCAGCAGCAGCCGCAGCAAGTGACACCGACGAAGGTTCAGATAGTAGCGGTGGGGATCCTCCGATGCTCTCTGCTGCTGCTGCTGCTGGTGCTGCTGCTGCTGCTGCTCCCCGTGTCATTCCTCTCACAGGCAAGCTGAAAGGAACGTGCGAAGGCTACTTGGGCTTCTGCTGCTGGCCGCCTTGGCCCTCGCCGCCCAGCAGCAGCAGCAGCAGCAGCAGCAGCGGGAGCTTTGGGGGCGCCCCGCGGTGCGCTGCAGCAGCAGCAGGCCTGGCGTTCTGCGGCGCAGCAGCAGCAGGCTGCCCCTGCTGCGCCCGCGCCTGGCAGGGGCCCCTGAGCCCCCGCAGAATTGATTTAAAAACTTATCCTGAAAGCATGAGGGGCCCCTCTTTGCTTTACTTCACTGGCAGTTTTGTCTT